TGTTAATATAATATTTGTCAATTTGTAAGGGTTGTTCTAAAGTTCTATAAATAAATTTCTTTTAAGAAAGACATTTATCTAGTATTAAAAAAAACACCCCGAAAGCAAATAAAATAATCTTAAGGGGAGTTTTTGATATTTTTTTTTTAATTTTTTCTTTCTTTATACTGCCATAAACCGGTACCACAACAATATTATCTAATACAGCAAGAGTATACAAAAAATGTATTACTTTCGCAATTTATATAAAAATTATAACGGTTTCATATATTATTAGACCAGCGTAGATAATTTTTAAAAGCAAAGAAATTAATAGTAAAATTAAAACAATCGGAAACGAAAAATAAAATAACAAACGTTAAGGGAAAAAGAATTTACGGGCAATCTGAGGTCGGGAAAAGGAACATGAGTGGTGGGCTGAAACTACGAGACCTATAGAAAAAAGTTATAAGGAAATGTTGGAGGTACTGAAAACGTCTATAACATTTGTATATTGACTTTTTTCACATAACCTCTAAATTTATGTGAAAACTTCAAACAACCAAGATTTGCGTTTTTTTTTTTATCTTGTACAAAAAAACGTTTTTACGAAATTTAGTGGCAAATTACCTTCCTATGTCCCAAACACACTGTATTTTTTTTATTAGTCTATACATGGTTTAATGCAATAAGTAAGATGAGAATGTCAACAAAAGACCTTGTGTATGCAATTATATACGTACGCATTGAATTAACTCGCAATGGATAATTATGGAACTAAGGTTAACGCCAGTGTTTGCGGTGAAATGATTTAGCATTAATAATGAACTTTAAAAGCATATCAACCCTTTCACCTTTAGTATTGTGTTTCATTGTTATATTTATACTATTTCTGCCAGCAAAATACTGCCAATTTCTACTATGCAACTAAATAGTTAGTAGCTAATCGATGTGTCTATGCTTACAACCAGTAAGGTGTGTATTAGTAGCTAAGCAAAAAAACAAATAGTCTACGAAAATAAAGTAAAAGTGAAAGTAAAAGAGAAAAGCCAAGTATTGACTAAAAAAAGTGTTAGATAGACACGGATTCTTGTTGCTATTTTTAGAATTTAGCGATTACTAAAACTTAGGATACGAAAAAAACAAAAATAAATCTTACTATTCATGTGTAAATCATCACCCAAACTAGCTGAATCGGGTAAGACACTTTCAGCATCACCACCACTCGATTCCTTACCAGGTGTTGGCGATGGCATCACAAGTGTCACTTCGATTTGCGGTATAACACAACCGAATATCATCGATTTCTTTGTATTTTGCTGCAGAACAATATAAATACGTATTATTATTTATTAGAACTTTGTGGTATACGCATAACGTTTGCAAACCTTTTGTAAAATACGCTCAGCGTCCATTGATAGGAACATGGCCATCTCCGTCATCTCCTCAGCCAAACGCAATAGGAACAAGTATTGATAGTGATCGATTTGCACACTCACCAAATTGGAAATGTGCGCAATGGCATGCATATCGGCGGTACGTTCGCTGTTTGTAGTGCCCTTATCATTAGCTGGTAAAGGTGCTGCATCAACGCTGGCGCTGGCACCATTAAATGAACGTTGTGGCTTCCAATCGCCCATACGTACATCCTCGTCACTAAGGAAGGGATTACGTGGCAGATTTTTACTATCCACATTTGCAAAATCCATGGAATTTAAATTCGTTTCGACGGAAGAACGATTCATGCTGTACGAGGCGCACGAATTGCTGTTGACGCTGGCAGCTGGCGATTTGTGCATAGCATCAGCACCAGAATGAAGCCACAAAGTCACCGGCACAGCATCGATGAATGGTATAGATTTGTTGGGACCCAAAGAGCGTGCACCCAAGAAATCCACCCACACCGGATCGAGCTTGATACACCATACATCACGCGGTTCTGACCACATAGCATAACGTGACAAATTCTGTGCCGAGGCGGATTTCGGTAGTTGCGCATATGTTGACGTTTGTGTTTGGCCCTGCGACTGCAAGGGGTTTTGTGGCAGCACGGGTGCACCCACATCGGCGGCTGCGACATGCGATAGTATGCGATCGGTAACAATGCACATGTCACCATTGACCGCTGGAAATTCCGTGCCGAAGACCAGTGAACCCTCCTGCAGTGAGTGCAAAGCTTGTGCCAAATCAGCACGCGATGAACCCATCTCACGTATATTGGTTATGGCAAATCGTGAGATTTGTATTTGCATGATTTTGGGACGATCCTTCTGATTGAGTACATCCACAGTCGATTCGATAACCACGCGTGGCATAATCGCTTCAATCTTCACATCCATATACATGAGATTGGGCTCTTGTTCGGCTTGCGAAATGGCCGCCTCGGAATCGCCGCGTGAGCCTTGTGAGCCCCCGGAACCCGCTGCACGTTGTGAGGCATTCGATGAGATGGAACCGCGTGTGGCGGAGGAAGCGCCGCTTGCTGTGCCGACGCTGGTGCGCAATAAGCTCTCATGTAAATTCAATGCAAACGAATTGAGCCAGAGTATGGAACTTAGATCGAAGTGCACTTGTAGGGGATTAATATGAACGAATACTTTGGACGGCGGCACTAAGCGTGTGAAAAAAACGATGAATAAATTGTCAAATGTTTTGTGTACGCATTTTGTGTATCAATGAATAAACTTACAAGGAAATATAAAATCACCAGGGTAATAAAAGTAAGTAAACTCAGCATGTATGACGGACATTTCAGCGGGAAACGAATATCGCTCTTTATCACCTGCAAGACAAAAAGTTTAATTATAATAGTATACAAATATTTACTGTTTTTTTAACAACATGCTGCAAGCATTGACGTAGGACAAGATAATTAAATAAATGTAAATTCTTGCCAAAGTCTAATGGGAGAAGTGATGAGAAGAAATTGCACTAGCTAAGATCTATTGTATTAAAAAATCTAATTTTTTAACAAAAACAAACTAAAAAACGTTAACTTCAGCTGCACTGAAGCTATAATACACTACACAAGTGCATATCTTATAACATAAAAAGGTATAAAAGACCTTTAGCTTGATTTCGATTGATCAGGTTGTATGACAACTATGTTCAGAGATTGTAGCGTTGCCTTGAACAACAGTCTATACTTAATTTTGTGAAAATATCTTCTCAAATAAAAAAGTTCTCCATACAAAAATTGATTTTGATCGGTCAGTTTGTATGGCGGCTATATGCTATAGTGGTCCAAACTGAACAATATGTTCAGAGATTGTAGCGTTGACTTGAGCAACAGTATATACTAAATTTCGTGAAAGTATCTTCTCAAATCAAGAAGTTTTCCATACAAGGACTTAATTTTGATTTATCAGTTTGTATGGCAGCTATTATATATATAAACTGCAATCGTTCGATAGTGAAAATTCCGACAAAAATCTCGCTGATCATTAATATGTATACTTTATAGGGTCTCGTAGCAAACTTAATATAACCTGTTCAGAGTTTATAAAAGAACCCAAAAAGTATAAGTTTAAACACCAAAAACACCAAACAAATTTTTAAGATTATTGCTTTCAGTACCTGAACGTGACTTCCGCTTATTTTGTGCTAAAAGTGCGAAATTTGATGATTTATATGTTTCGGTGCGATTGTTTGTTTGACAATAACAAAAACAATGAGTTCGTATATTAAATATGACAGAGTAGAGCAACGAGAGAAGCAAATATGAGAGACTAATCAATACGTATTTTATAAAAGCATGTAAATTAATTGAATGAGTTAAGACTCAAAACTAACTAGATGTGTATATATATAATATATATATGTAAATTAAGATTTTTCTTGATAAATTACCCGACACAAATTCCTTGGGCATCTGCTTTCTACCAGACGTGGTGACGCGATATAAGGTGAAGTCTTCAATGCGCAACACAACGCAGGCGCTCATCAATTTCGCCAAATTGTCCAGTGTCACCTTTTGCTGTTGCGCTTGTGTAAGCTGATTGGCGAATGCTGAAGCATTACCACCCGAACCACCACCGCTGCTGCCGGGACGATGTGGCGTATTCGCGCCAGAACTGGAAGGTGGTGTGCCACCAACTGTGGCCGCATGCGCTGAGCTTAGCGCTTGCAGCGCATTTACATTAAGTGCGACGGGTGAAGTTGGTGCGGTGCGTTCGAGTGGCGCATGTGTTGACGGGCGATTCGGTTGACTTAGATTAAGCACAGCTTCACGGAATGTATTAAGAGATTCTTTGAGCCACAACGCTGGTAATACGGATGCTTCGCGATATCTGTAGGCAAAGTAATTAAATAATTAAATCGATTACAAGCAGAAAAACGTCGATCGCCGATTCCGACAAATGAAGCTTCTTGAGAGGAAAAAGACTTGTGCAAAATTTCAGATCGATAACTCAAAAATTTTGGGAGATTAGTGCGCGGACAGACAGACGGGCATGCTAAACGTCTCAACTCATCACGCTGATAATTTCTATATATATTTTATAGGGTCTCCGACGTTATCTTCCGTGTGTTACAAACTTCGTGGCAAACTTTTTATACCTTGTTCAGGGTATAAAAATTATGTAAAAGCTACTTACTTCGCCCAGTGCGCGCGATCTGATTTAGCCAGATGATAAGGATAATAGTCTATTTGGAATGCTTGCACCGATATTTGTAAAGCGCCACCTTTATCCAATTCGGGATAGCTCGAGCGGCCATCTAGTCGGTTGTGAAAATGAAACAAAAATATTAAAATATCTATTTAATATTAAAAACATATTCAAGCATTCCACACACCTCCTTCATCGTCGCACAAATGCAAATCGATGCGTTGACTGAAAAAGTGATAGGAAGTTTCGCGTACATCGAAAGCGTTGAACATTTTTTGCGCTGGTGTTGTGTGCGCCGTGTCAGTTTGGCGATTTTGTTGCTGTGCTATCTGTGCCTGATACTCAGGGAGAGTCTTAAAATAACAAATATAAAAATTCAATAAAATTCTTAACAGTACTACACACACACACACACACGCCCACAATTAGATGCATTAAACAACAGTTGCGAGAGATACAGTATAAAAATTAATTACCACAACATGTTGTCAAATGCAATTATGTACTAGACGCAAATCAATTCAGTTGAGTAATTTTATTATATAAAATAATCATGAAAATAACCTGTAATTTTCTAGCTGCATTCTTTTTCTGTGTTGCATGTGTCGCCGCTTTGATGAGACCCGATAAGGAATCGACAAAATGTAAGGCCGCTTTCAGCTGCGAATCGGTGAGCACCCATAGTAGATCGTCCAGTATGAGCACCAGTCGTGAGGCTAATAATGTACAATCAGAAAGCCGTTTTCGTAGCGTTAGTCGACAGCGCGCTTGATTTGTGAGCAAACGTAGTGGTGTGAGCGATTTGTCCTGCGTTGAACTGGCTTCGATGCGTACCGTTTGCCAGGAGAGTTCTTTGAAGATGAGTATGATGCCTTTATTCGGGTCTTTAAGCCGTGTAAAACGCAGATCGGCATGAGCCCATTTCGGTGTTTTTGATTCAACACGGATGCGAGACATCTATAGAAGAAATAGAAAAAGCGAAAATTATTTAGTATTAATGTCTTAACATAGCACAGTAATTGAATCTGGTTTCTAAGGGATTCTAACCTAAAAAAAATTGGTTAAGGCCGCAACCTGCGCTGAAAAGGAGGAAAATTCCTATTAATCAATGTGTGCTCAGTAAGAAAGCAAATAGTGCGATGATCCCACACTGGCGATTCCCACTACAGGCAATTTTACGTTAACGGAATTGTCCCGGCCAAAGGCTGTTATATCGGCGATTTAACCTAAGTATTAAGCTAAGTTTGTCACCCGGCTTCTGCTATATACAATGGATAGAGCCATCGTAAAACCTGCTCAGCGCTTAAGACTAAAAACAAATGGTATCCGTCCGTTCCCACGTAAGTCGGGTCTGGGTAAACGGAACGGACCCGGATTTTTATACGGTCGAAGACAGCATTCCTTAAAATTTTTTGTGGAATGTTTTCTATTGCTACATCAACAACAATAATATGTATGGAACCAAAGAAGTATGGCCCAATTTCGGTAAAGCAGAACCACGGAATTTCAACAATTGAAATGTATACCGTTAGATTTGCTTTAATCTGACACCCATAAGACAATAGGTTTCTCAATGTCAGGTTCATTGAGCTTCTGGTATGAGATAGATAGGGAATATTTTTATAAAAAATCAAATATGACTTGGTATTTTAGAGTTGGCAACAGTCGTAATTTTAACGTTTAAGCATTATACGCTCATATCAAGACTGTGCTACTTAGTTCAGGAGCAATAATCGTCGGGAAGAGTGTAGAGATTCTTACAGTGAAGATGCAAAACGGAAAGAAGAGTTAGCATTTACTTTTCTGGTTGAAACTTATTCAATCTTTTTCAGATCGGCAATAAAAATTAGCACAAATACCGACCGACTGCGCAATAAATGGTTTTTTGGTCTTTCATGTCGTCGCATAAGCGCATGGAGGCACGCAAAAATTAGTACTACATATAAAGGCTTATAATATGTTGACTATCTAATCTCCTATAAAAACATCTAAGAATGTTGGACTTTAAAGAAATTTAAAGCACAAATTTTTTGCTAAAAATCTAAAACTTTCTCGAAAAGCCCAGCGGCGTAAGACAACACCTTCAAATTAATTGCTTTGGCGTAGTAATTTGTTTGATTTCACACAATTCTCAACTGCGCATTTTCCCCGCTATTTACAAACAAATTGCTTTTTTGTATTACAACAACAACAGGACACTTACCTGCACGGAGGCTGTGAACGCTGCGCTCAGGAATTTCACATTCACCGTATTTACAATGATTGTAATGCCATCCACCACTTTGTGAATGTAACTGTATTTGCCCTGCGGCGCCTGTGGCAGTGTCGACTGTGCTGTTGCCCCACCACCAGCAGCAGCGCCACCTCCTACACCACCCCCACCTGCAACACCGCCGGGTGAGTTGGCATCCTGATTTCTAGTGCTCGGATCACAGGTTTCAACGCTGATATTCACCTCGTCCAGTGTCTGGCCGCATTATTGTGAGATGTGAGTGTATATTTATTGAGTCATGCAGAGGTAGAAAATAGAATTATACATTTAGCAAGCACTAACAAGACATTTATCGACATGTCATCCATGTCGTTCGTTACTCACCAAGGTTATTGGCACACTTTTCAGTTTGGTCCAGCTAATGCGAAAGGACACATGATTGCACCAGGCCGAAGTGAGTCGCAACCATGAAGGCAACTCTAACAGTTCAGTGAGCACCGCTTCGTCCAATTGCAAGTTCACCAGATCCCCCTCGCCACGAAATGTGCTCAAATTAATTTTGTCCGATGACAAATTTTTCGTGTAACTGTAAAAAATCAAAAATTACTTGCAGAAATGAAAATGAAATAATGGAAAATCACAAAGTTGTGTAGTATAAAGGGATTTAAGTACTAATGAGTGACCGAAAATACTATTTATAATTTACTCTCTGCATTAATGGCAACCAATTGCTGATATTTTCCGCAGTTGAGTGTAGCTCAATGGCTTGTAGTTGCGCTCACCAATTGACCTCTTAAAAAACGATGTCAACTACAATATTCTGCGGAAAGAACTTTTCGCGTCACACTTCAATGACTTTTTATTGTACGTTTCACTAATTGGTGCTTCTAATTGGCGTTTTTTGTTTTCCATTTTCGAGCGTGTTGGCGTTCTAGAGCTGTGTGTTCTATAGAGCATATTTTTTTTGCATTTTCTGAAAGTGTCTGCCGCACAGCAGCTGCAATATTTAACTGTATCAATAATGCAATTTTCTGCACTCAGTTTCCGCATGAGCGCTTTGATTTATGATTTTGATCGTTCGAATGGAAGTGGGTTCATAAATGTACCGTTAGCTTAAGTAAATTTTAAAAAATGTGTGGGAGTCCACACGAATTTCAAATATTTCTCATACAGAATTTTTTCAATTTTATTTAAGATGAATAAAAAGGTGGAAGTATTTCAGATTGTCTGCAAAATAATTGTAAAAAATATTACGTTTTACTTAGACTATTATTTAAAATTATTTAGTCAGAAAAGACAGCAATCTAAAGGCACAATGCTAAGGATAACACGTCTATTAAGGGGTTACATAGGTTTCCCAACTTCACAAGAACAAGAATGTTTTTATTGTCTTATTTAATTTTATAACACCTCTAGAATATTGTCCTAAATTCGCAAGTTGATACCAGTAATAGTTTTGGAGATACAGCTTTAAAAGTTGCGCAATCGAGGTCAGCTATTGATATATATATAATCAATATATTATATAATCAAAATATTATATAATCACTTAAAACTTTAAACGCGTTTTTCTCGAAACTGTGTTTTCAAAGGCATTTGTCAAGATTTCTTGCGAACTACTCATCCGACCTTAAGAAATCAAAGGTCTTTGAGATATAATTTACAAGACCTTAAACGAAATATATTTTTTTGTCCAGTTACAACTATTTAAAAAACAAAAAACGTCGAGAAATTTTCCCCAAAATTTGGCACTTTTTTGTAAAAACGTCTGCCAAAAATACAGTTTTCACTTTTTTGTTTTTCCTTCGTTTAATACCTCGTTTATGGTCGTAATTCAAACACGTATTTTTTCTTATACTTTTGATGATCCTGTCAGAAGTTCCCTAAAGTTAAATCAGATTTTTATACCCAGAACAGCGTATATAAAGTTTGCCACGAAGTTTGTAATACACGGAAGGAAACGTCAAAAACCCTATAAAATGTATACATAAATGATCAGCATGATAAGCTGAGGCGATATAGTCCATCTGTCTGTATATACGTGAACTAGTCCCTCTGTTTTTGAGACATCGATTTGCAATTTTGCCAATATCCTTTTCACCCCTATGAGTACTTTGTCAAAACTGCCGATATCGGATCACTACATAAAATAGCTGCCATAGAAACTGAACGTTCGAAATCAAGTGCTTGTATTGAAAGCTTTTTCATTTGACGAAATATAATCAAGAAATTTAGCATATGTTAGTGCCTAGGGCAATGGTGCAATCCCCGAAAAAATTGTTCAGATCGGATTACTGTAGCATATAGCTGCCATACAAACTGAACGATCAAAACAAGTAAGAAATTTTTTGTATTTCTGAAGGGTACTATAGCTTCGGCACAACCGAAGTTAATATTTATTTTTTGTTTGGAACTAAACCACGGACTTCTCACTTAATTAATTGACCGTTTCATATAGAACCATTATATTAAGCATGTGCAAATCAAGCGAGGAATGATTACATCTTTACCACTTACCGGTCCCAAGACGGTTAGATCGTCGAAAGATGCAAAGAGACCCCACAACCAACTGCCACCTTTCCCCTTTGCTCCGACTCTATCGAAACAGTTCTTTTCTTGGACCTCTCATTAGGTGAATTCGATAACAATTGACTTGCATTTTTTTACATACTCGGTTTAGATACCACCAACAACAACCGAATATATCACCTTTCCGACCGACCGAAATTAATGACCGATTATAATCCCGTTCCCACGACATTCGGGTCAACGTAACCGGAACGGACCCGGATTTTTATTCAGCCAAGTCTGTCAACTCGACAGAATTCTGCCGCTACAACAAGAAACACAACAACTAATTTATATGCCGTATTAAATATCGCTATAACAAAAACTACTGATTTCAAAGTCAAAAAACGAACAATTAGGTGCTACGTTTTGTTATTGTACGAAATAAGCTGTTGGTAAATCGGTGTTATATAGAATAGAAACATGCAATTTTTAATAATCGATGGAGTAATTTATTAGATATTTAAAATCTTCTAAAAATTACCTTACCCACGACCATAGTATTATTGAACTCATCAAATTGAACAGTTCTCGGGAACACACCTATTTAGTCTCGTCAGTAAACACTTTAGTGAGCTATTGTTGTTGTAGCGGTTGAAAACATTTCACAGAAAAAATCTTGCTTTAAATTAAAAATTTATTTAAATCAAAGTGGAGAATTATTATAGGCGGGCGAGGTTATAACCCGATTTTTCATGATTATAGCATCAAGTGGTGAAATTTAATGCAATTGACCAGAAAAAACTTTAATGTGGATATTCAACTCAATACAATAAAACTATTTGCAGGCTGGCCGAGCCGACTTTAATTTTTCCTTTTGCGACCTTTTGTGTAATTTTTCAGTTTTGTAGCTTAACATTTTATAGAATTTGAAAACTTTATATATTTTTACCGATATGTACCATATGTGAGGCAATAGTCCGATTCTGTCTAATTTGAAAAATTATTGTTAGGCTATACTAATGGTATAAAAGGATTTAGCGACACAACTAGTGTAAAAATTTAAAAAAAAAATAAAACGATTTTTTCTAATTTCGATAGGTTATATCTTTAAAAATATCATGCTTAAACATGTTATCGATATCTCAAATAGTTTATGAGTTACAGCCTTCTGAAGTCAATCAGCTCAATCAGCATATACATATATGCCCTTAAAATTTCAAAACAATTAATACAGTAGTTTTTTTTCATTTTATTTTCAAAAATCGCCTTTTTTTAGGATGTCACACACCCTTTAACTAAAATATTTCATTTATTATTCAAGTTATACACTGTACGGATAAAGTAAGGTACTGTCGGTGTGGCAAAAGATCCTTGATCCTAATTTTTATTTATATAGTAATATTACAACGATTATTTATAATTAGGAAGACGTACTTAAACACTGACGAAAATATCAAATAATTTGAAGCTGAAATACGTCCGGAATTTAGCTTTTCATACTAGAAAAACCTTTGTTATTCGTAAATGAGATCGACTGTGAGCCTTGTATAGAGGTACTTTAGACACTACACTTCGACCCACGAGGATATATAATCATTATATTATATTTACTAACGAATAAATATTTGTAAAAGAGATATGTATTAAATTTATCTTATTGTAATCTTTATATTGCGTGAATTTCAAACATTTATTTTTTGTACAGCTCCGGTGACATGATTGCTAAACAAACACATTTGACTCCGCTTACAAACTTTGTAAATACATTTCAAATTAAAATTAAACAAAATCACAATTCGGTGTGATATAATATATACCAATGGATAATATACCCTAAACAAGGCATATTTAGTTTGCCACGGTGTTTGTAATACCAGAAAGGAAACGTCGTAGATCCATAAATGTCTGTCTGTCCGTCTGTATATACGCGAACTAGTCCTTTAGTTTTGAAGATATTCATCTAAAATTTTGCACACGTCTATTTCTCCCCAAGAAGCTGATCAATTATCGGAGTTAACTTTTTTTTGTTGTGTATTAGTTATACGCTGAAGTTAAGCTGTGATCCAAACATTGTTCAACGTACTTAAATACTTAATAGCATCTAATCAAAAACTTCGCTAATCAGATAAGTATAGTGAAATTCACACATTTTATTGATAATCAATGTTAAGAATTGGTGCCCGATGGCGTGTGAAATAATTTTACGAGACCCATTTTAAACGTATATGACCTGACAAACTAAACATACAGATTATTATATGGCTCCAAGTAGCACCCAGCAAACACACGCAACCTTACAATTGCTTAAGATTGCACCTTTGAGTTGCTCTTTCAATCCCTTTTCTCTTTTTAACCCTTTTTTAAATTCTCATAACTTTTTATTACGTAATAGGTACTAGCATTCAACTAAGTAATGCATAAAAATTTACATAATAATACATTACTTACAAATTATATATGTTTGTAGGAATTTCTGCTTTTCAACGTATAATCAGCAATTTAAATTAAAATTTTCTACAGCATTCATGAACTGCGCGCAGTCTACAACTTCATTTTCCAACCAACTGACCACATATTTACTTTCTATTCACCCACATTTTTGCCACCCCCTCACTTTTTGTTGACTTTGTTGTTTCATTGTTGTTATGCATAGCAAACTCATACATATACATATGTATACTAAGCTATACGCGAATAGAGAAATTATTCAATTTGTTTCTTGGCCTAAACGCAATTTCAAACACTTCACCTCCCACTATAGCACGCCACCATTGAAAACTTGATACGCCAACTTGCGACGATGCTAATACTCAGCGCAGCTAACTGCTGTACTTGACAGTGTTTTAACGATAATTTAATGGTTGACTGTTGCGTTGTGCCACAAGAAGTGATGTGCGCGCGGTGTTGTCGTCGCATAACAAAACCTTGGAAGATGCGCTTACTGTTGGTGGCGGCTCCACTCGCTGCTAAGGCGCCAACGCGATTATCTGTCTCAAATTATGAAATGAATGCTACTGCCGTTGCCTGGCAGCCGCAGCCACAGCCGTTAGAAGAAATATTTAGCAGTAGTCAACAGGACTACAGCAAAATATTATACTCTATATACTTGCGTAAGTATGTATACAAATGTTTCTGTATAAAAGTATTTTTATATAACACATTTGTGTGTAGGTGCCAGTCAGTCTGTATGTTAAGCTCACAAGTTGCAAATGGCCATCCCACCAATGTAGCTTTCCACAATGCAACTAGTTGAATGCTAGCAAGGAGTCGCATTAATAAATATAATGGAATAAATGTGACGACCGAATCCTTTACACTTCATGCTTTTACAGTTTTCACATAAGTTATCATTTTTATTGCACAACTTTTTAGTATTCAAATCATATTTATTAAATTATAACTTGGTGACCTAGATAAACTACTTGCTTTGTTGCTAATAGTAAGAAAATTAGTAAAGAAATTTAAGAGAAAATTAAGTAAAACAATTTACTCTCTAATTTTATATAAAATTATTGAAATTGCAACGACAAATGTTTAGCTGCAAGCTACACTCAAACGTTGGAAAAAATGGTTTGTGTGCACGACTGTAGATCAAGTTTTGATGAAGTTAAGATTTTTTGTGACGTCTACTTTCCTCTAAATGTTATACATAAAATTTTAGTTTGAGTTTAGTTGTTAATTAAACTACTAAGAAAATTATTAAAATATTTTAAAATCTTATAGTATAACATTGGTTGGCACTCTTAATATTTTTGACTAATAAAAATATTGTTTAAGATTTTTACATATATTTTACATACACAAAGGTTCGTTCAAATTAAAATAAAAAGTAAGTTATCTACTTTGCTAAGCAAATATTTTCTCATACCGCCTTTTCTTTCTACCGCCTGTAGTATTTTTAATGGCTATAATAGGGAGAACACTGTAAAAAGTACTATCAATAAAGGGCAAATGCACCTACATACATATGAGCGTATACCATATACGCAAGTAGGGGCACATAGAGAATTCGTATGAGGGTACATACCATTTATTGTAATCTATATACTTTCCCTTATGTTACATATTCGTTATACGTATATATATTTATGTAAATAAAGGTCAATTATGAAAATATCTATAACCCCATATCGATGAATGCCACGTAAAACGAAATTAAATTAATACAGCAAAATCCAATAGTTGTTTACTTAAATAGAAAATCGAGAATTATCACCATAAAGCCGTTATTGCTTCTTTAATAAAGTTTTTTATTTCAGTTCAATTCGTCAGCAAATAGGGAAAAGCTCATGGAACATTTGGATATAGCAAAATTAAGGGTATTGAAAAATCAATTCATTAGTGGGTACGCACAAGTCAGTACTTATTTTAAAGCATAATCCATATCATAAAGTTATATGGATGTATCTTAAACACGCTGCTAATCTACTTACATCGAAAGGTGCTTCAAGAGTTGATTCTTAATCAGCGACACCATCTTTACGCAGTCCTAGTCGCAGACGTTGCACTGACACGACGTTGTTAATAAAGTGCAATAGTTACGACTTTTTTTTATCAATGCATTATCCACTTTTTACTTCTTAATCAGCAGCTTTATATGATTTGTAATAAATAATTTACACCTTTGCTGTGTTGGAATTTTTGTTTCTATTTTCTCTACTTCACAAAGAAACCCAGCTGGTGAATTGACTATGCACAATTATCCACTCACTCTACACACTCTTGTTAACCTTTAACCATTTTCGCAAGCACTTCACGCATAACTTCTATTTAATCGCAACAGTTTTCTATATTTTCCTGAGTTATTTTTACACGTTATTACTTTTTTAATCACGACTTTGCAAATACCATTATTTTTTAATTTCTGCGAGTTTTTGTATTTATTATCGTTCCGATGCGAATGACAGTCTAAGTGACTTCCAATTGGATTCTGATGGGAGTGCTGTCAATTGACTATTTGAGATGCCGAAATTGGAGCTGCCAACTGATATATATGAAACTAAGGAGAAACAATGCAATATTTAGTTAAAAAACATATTTTGTTACCAAAAATTATATTAATCGCAATGTTATGGGATCATGACAAGAGTTTCGAAATATTTTTTTTATTTCCACACCAATTGGAAATAAACCGTAATTTCTTAACGAGTTAAACTTCGTAAAAAAGGTAATAGCAGGTGGCAACCCTCACATTTCATAGCAGTTTACTTTTGTTTGCAGTTGTAAATAATTTCAAATTTTAAACCGTCAAATTTGCTTATTTTAACACATTTTTTCCAATCTATATTATCGTGCAATAGCTATGGATACCGGCTGTACGTGTGTGTAAGTGACTATATTTCTGCAAATCGTTTTTTAATGATATTAAAATTCGTGATTTTGAATATTTCCATAGTTCTATTGGTGTCGATAAAGTAGTTCATATAGATGACAGAAGAAATGGAAATATGACAGTTTGAAATATTGTTTTTTTTTGTGTTATTTATTTGTACAGAAACTCGCTTTTGCATAGAAAATATTCTCTGTCTCTTGTTTTAAACGCTGCTGACATTTAGAATAGAAAAAAGGTTTTGCTTAAACAGTTTTTAAAACATCATAGGCGAATGAAAGCTTTTAATGAGGAACCAATGCTGTCGAATAAGCAGTACATCCGGTTCATTTGTTCACTTTATACTTGTCATTTTCCAACACTTTTTTGCTTGTCATATTTATGAAACTCTCATCATTACGATTTGTATTTGCTGCCAAATAAAAATTATCAAAGATATTTAAACACGAATAAACCACGTGACTTTCAGTAAAGCTTTATTTAATACTGCGAACACAGATAAGCACAAGTTTGTATATTGTGAGCACTCTTTCGTGCTCAAATTGATACCGCACACAGCAAGAGTGTGGACTGTATTCAACCGGCATCCGCTCTTGTCACCTTGCACGAAGGTCATTGAAAGTTTTGCAGCCATACCTACTGCACAGTGTGTGGGAAAGAGGAACTGAGGAGCAAAAGTGTGCACATTACACACATACCCGATACAAACCGCATTTGCCGGCAATTCCAAATTATTGTGTCATAGGCAAACGCTTTAATATTCAAAAAAACTTCCTACCTGTGTAGTCCTGCTGTTGACTCTGTCTCTACAACTGTTTGGGGGGACTTTGGATTCATACAAGTAGGAATCTAGCTCGCTTTCGCAAATAGCTGATGACGAAAATACAACGTACATTTCGTCGATTGCATTTGCGACTGCGACAACAATAACAACCGGGGGGAATACAAAGAGCTTTACACAAAAACCGAGCTATATATTTTAAAAATGTTTCTGTGGTCGTGTTCCACGAAAGCAGCTGCTTCTACTGCTCGTAAAATCACACTCTTCGCTCATCACTCAGTGTCAGTTGTTCCACAATCGCCGTTGGTGAATTTTGGTGCTAAAGTTCCGTCTCCGTTTGGATTACAATTCTTGTTAATTAAACGCTTAAAGTAAGTGCTCCAAATCTAGTGCAAAATATTTAAGTAATAAGTGCATAATTTCAAAAATAAATAATAATAAGAATAAGATACAATAATACTAAAGATCTAAACGATTTATATTAACATATTACCTAGTTAAATTCAATCGATTTGCTAAACAATGGCGAAGCGTTAGATAACATTTTTCGGGTGGCTGTGTGCTTACTTAATTCTGTAAAAAAAATTTAATATTTCGTGTTTTTATTTTTATACTCTTGTCTTAATTGTATTATTAAATGCTTTTCAGTTAATATGTCTACATAAAAAATATTTTTATTAAAAAGAAAAAATATTTTACAACCGGGTGAGATTTTTCATTAGTGTAGTAATTTCCTATGACCTTTATTCGCTTCGTAGAGGTCATTTTTAGCAAGAGCACGACTTTCATGTGTAATAGAAAGTAATGGAAAATGACTTCGTCAGCTTAGAAGAACTAGAACTATATACACATAATTGCAAATAATGATAATGAAAACGTGTGAATTTAATAATTAAATGAATAACGAAAATGAATATGCCAAACTAATAATGAAATGTAGATATCAGCTTTTATCAGAAGTTCTATTTTATTTAGATAAACTAAATAAATAAATAAACATTGAGAAACACTACAATTAAAAATTGTTGACTACAACAATAAATACATTTTCTAATTTGTCCTATTATCTATATTATTTCTCAACTAGCTCAAGTATGCCTATCAAGTCAATCTTCGCTCGTCAAATCTTCGACTCGCGTGGTAACCCCACCGTCGAGGTTGATTTGTGCACTGAATTGGGTCTTTTCCGTGCCGCTGTACCCTCCGGGGCATCAACCGGTGTGCATGAAGCTCTTGAATTGCGCGATAACGATAAGAACAGCTATCATGGCAAGGCTGTGACCAAAGCTGTCGACCACGTAAACAAGGCTTTGGGACCCGAATTGTTGAAGGCAAATCTTGAAGTCACCGATCAAGAGGGCATTGATAACTTCATGCTGAAATTGGATGGTACTGAGAACAAGTCAAAATTCGGTGCTAACGCCATTCTGGGTATCTCATTGGCTGTCTGCAAAGCTGGTGCTGCCAAGAAGGGTGTACCACTATACCAGCACATTGCTGATTTGGCTTCCAACAAGGACATCATTCTGCCAGTACCTGCATTCAATGTAATCAACGGTGGTAGCCATGCTGGCAACAAATTGGCCATGCAGGAATTCATGATTCTACCAACTGGCGCAACTAGCTTCACTGAAGCCATGAAAATCGGCTCTGAGGTCTACCATCACTTGAAGAAGGTCATCAAGGATAAATTTGGTTTGGATGCCACCGCTGTTGGTGATGAAGGTGGTTTCGCACCCAACATTCAATCCAACAAGGAAGCTTTGGTTTTGATCCAAGACGCCATCGCTAAGGGCGGTTACACCGGCAAGGTGAGTTACGATACAACTTTGGTGTAATTCAGTTTCAAAACACAAATCAAAAGTAAAAACTATTTTTGTACGTGTCAAATAGCATTTCTAAAGCATTACAGGCAATATAACTATTTTCTAAAACAAATTTCCTCTTCCCACCCACAGGTCGAAATTGGTATGGATGTTGCTGCTTCTGAATTCCACAAGGACGGTCAATACGATTTGGACTTCAAGAACCCCAACAGCGACAAGTCACAATGGTTGTCGCCTGAGAAGCTCACCAACTTGTACCAGGAATTCATCAAGGAGTTCCCCATCACCTCCATTGAGGATCCCTTCGATCAGGATCACTGGGATGCCTGGTCAACCCTTACTGCCAGCACACAAATCCAAATTGTTGGTGATGATTTGACTGTCACCAACCCCAAGCGTATCCAGACTGCCGTTGAAAAGAAGGCTTGCAACTGCTTGTTGTTGAAAGTCAACCAAATCGGTACCGTCACCGAATCCATCAAGGCTCATTTGTTGGCCAAGAGCAACGGCTGGGGCACCATGGTATCACATCGCTCCGGTGAAACTGAGGACACTTTCATTGCCGATCTCGTTGTTGGCTTGTCTACTGGTCAAATCAAGACCGGCGCACCATGCCGTTCTGAACGTTTGGCCAAATACAACCAAATTCTTCGCATCGAAGAAGAGTTGGGCGCCAAGGCGAAGTATGCCGGCAAATCTTTCAGAAAGCCACAGTAAATTTTTAGTGTTGAGCAATGAATAATGATTCCAACATGCACAATTAAAGGCAAATTCAAGAAAATTTTGAAATTTTGAGAACATCATATGGGTGTGGCATACATTAAGTTGAACTTAATAACGGGAATACAATAAATGCAAACCTAGTACCTTAAATTCTATAGCCACCTACTATTACTACAAACCAACAACAACAAGAAATGTTAATGAAATTTTGTGCACAGTTATGATTTTCATCACCTTATCATACTTGTAAACCATTTTAATCGTTATATTAAACATATTTTATTTAAACTATATACAGAACTATTATTTCTGAATTGTTCTTTTTATATAAAACTACTTTAAATTATTATTATTAATGGTAATTTCATTTCGGTATAATAAAATAGCATAGAACAATGATAAAAAAAAATAAAGAAAAGACCAAAAAACAAAAAAATATTTATTATTTCAAATGTTATTTGCTCCACTACCAACTACACTACTGTGCAATAAAGATTTAACTAACTGGCTTATTAACAAAACATAATGCGAAACTAAAACATATTGCTTAATTGTTGAATATTAGTGTTGTTATGTAAAACACACATGAAATCATACCGATAGCAGCGTGTTGTCCAATTCAATTGTATGTAATCAAAAACATAATTGTCTGGTAGCATTGTGCTAATCATAATAAAATATGAATATGAAAATATTGGTTTCTACTTTACGCTTGTTATTTGTTGTGAAAAATTTAGTAGATATTGTGACCGCAATAAAAAAATAATGCTAGTAACTACCGTTTATTAACCACATTATTTAAGCATTCAAAAATTAGGTAATTTTATATATATCACCTTATCATGATTGTCTACACATCAATTTTAGTTGAAGTATTCTAAATTTCTTTTAGTTCTGTTTTGACACAAACTAATCAATGTCAAGTTCATATGAGAAATTTAAAGAAACAAAAAGAGAAAGTAATAACTAAGTATTTAATTTGTGTTTCTGAAATTTTTTTTCAAAATACACAAAAATATGTCCTTGTTATTCTTGACATTAGGAACAACTGTATATGATAGACGTGTGTTCGCACGTTTGTACATGTACGAAATGTATGTATCAGCATTTATATTTATGTACGTACTCAGGGCCGAAGAGAGAAAACCGGGGTTCGGGAATGTTTGTAGTGAATTGTTAGGGAAAAATCTTCAAAACATTGTTGTCGAGCACATGGCCACTCTGAACACTCCATGGCCGAGAGGAATTGTTCCCGATCTCCCCCTCTCTCCTTCACTGTAGGTACTAAATAGGTATATTACACCACCTCGTAGGGTAGGTCATACTTTTTGCACATTACGTCAGTTTTTTGACAGCTGTTATGTTTTCATATATGCACCGCTTAGTCATATACAAGTATGTATAATAATAATTGAAAATTATATACATATTTCACAGGAAGCTTTCTGAAACAATTTTTTTTTTTGTATTTTTACGATCTGCCTGAAGAGTTTTCTGTCCTGAAGACAACTGACCTTAAGGATTTAAAAACTTTCCATAATTTTTGCGCATACATAACATATGTATGTATATTGTATATGTGCATGTATATATGTAAATGAGATTCGAGCACGTGATATTTGACGCATGAAAATTGCGTGATTTAGTTTATTATTGCTTCATACAAAACCAATATTACAAATATATGTACATATGTATATGCATGTAGTATTTGTGTATGTATGTGCGTACATTCGAATTTGTCTGCGACAATTTTTTATTATTTTAATGGAAAAATTTTGCTGAATTAACAAGCAGCTTAATTTGATGAAATTTATGCAAAAGAAGTCGCCAATATTAGTAAAGCACAAAATCACGAGTTTTTCATTTCCAAAATAGTTTCGACTAATGAAAATATTAATTATTATATTATTATTTCAGAACATTAAATATTTCCGTCTGAGTTTCTCATCTAATTTTTGTTCTCATAATAGTCTAGAAATCTATATATTAGGGTGGTTTAAGAAATGGAATTTTTTTTTCGTTTGGTACTGCGAAAAATAGATTCTTAGATATCTGTAGGCTTTCTTGAGAAAATTTTTTCCAATTATAAGCTTTTAATTGTAACGGGAAAGTCCTTCGCCTTACCGTTATCTTTTTTCTTATTATCAGATAGAAAGATTCATATCTAGCTTTCAACTATTTACTTGAAAAAATATTGCGTTTTAAGGGTTTTGTAGGAAATTGGTTGCTTTGCAAAAAAGGTCTATTGCGATTTTTGCGTAAACATAGCTAGGTAGGTAGGTATTTGTTTTTTCTTTTGAATTTGATAACTCAATGAAAAAAAATAATTTAGATTGCAAAGTGTAAAAGCTCACGCTGGGAGAGGTGTCTAAGAACGAATTTTTCAGAGTACCAAGCGAAAAAGAAAATATTCGTTTTTTATTTTTGACCCACTCTACTATATATTTCTTTTAACTATTTGGATATATGTACGTCTATAGTTTTTGGTTTCAAAAATTATTGAAATAAAGGGTTTTCCAACAAAAGTGATTTTTTTTCGAAAAAAACACACTAATTGTTAAGGAAATTGTAATGTTTTTATTTAATGTGAAGTACAATCGATACAATTAAGTTCTGAATATAACATCAAACAAATGGCTGTCACGACTTCTTTAGCAGGAACGAATTCGATGAACCGAATTTTCGAGTACATTTTCTACTAAATCAAGTCGTATGTCATGAATAGCACGTTCAATGTTGACTTCTAAAGCTTGAAGAGAGTCTGGTTTATTGCTAAAGAGCAGTGACTTCAAATAATCTCACAAGAAGTAGTCTAATGATGTTAAATTACAACTTCTTGGAAGCCATTCAATATTACAAGTTCCTGATCTATATCAAATATTCAAACTTTTTTCGCAAATAATTCGGTGTGTGTCTGTGGCATGTGGCCCCGTCTTGTTGGAGCCAGATGTTGTCAAGATCAACTTCTTCCAATTGTGGCCATGAAAATTTGGTTATCATCGATCTTTACCGCTCTTTATTGACAGTAACGGTGTCACCAGCTTCATTGCGAAAGATGTACGAACCAATGATTCCGCCAGACCAAAAACCACACCAAACTGTCAATTTAGGTGAATGTAATGGTTACTCATGAAAAATTCGTGGATTTTCTTCGTACCAGAATCGACAGTTTCGTTTATTTATCCTACCACTCACCATAACCATAACGACCATAAAATGGCAAAAGCGCACGAAAAGTTGCAATTGGGGAACGATTATTTTAATAATAAAATTAAATAATTTGTAAACGTTATTCTTGCGTATATCTTTCCACGATTCTCTTCTTCATTACTGAATACAATGAAAAAAAAAATTGGAAAACCCATTACAACGTAAAGCACATTAATAAATACAATAGGTACTAGTGAACGTAAATAGGTTTCGATATTAGCATAAAAGTGCTCCAAAACATCAATAAATACTATATTCATATATTTCATAGACGGTTTCGAATATGCTCTTTTTGGATAACGGAATTTCCGAAAGGTTTATTAGTTAGAAATCCGGATTTAATCCGTCCAACGGATATTGTACACATATATGGATATCCGCTAAAACGCAAAAAAGTGTATTTCATGCTTTAATTCCACTAATTTTAAAGAATTACATTGTGTTTTGTTGTTTTTGTTCTCCTGAAGCTGGCTATTGCATATGCCTCGAATATAAACATTTTTTTTAGTATCTTTCGAAGCCTTCCACTTATTTTAATAAATTATTATATTTTTCCCTATTCATCAAAGGATACAGTGTATGTATGTATGCTTAATCCTTTTTAAATTTTCGCTTATCTTAACGATTCTGTTTTCAAGACGAACTTCTTCCTTTCAAGCATTCATGCATAATTTCGAACTTTGAACTGCATACTAACAACCCCATTTATCCGTAAAATATATTTTATTCACTTCAGATGGCAACAAAACTAATTTCTAAGCCTAAATATTTTTGAAGAGGTTATATCCGCTAAATAGATGTTATGTACGTATTTGTCACATAATGATCGAAAGAACATGATTTTTGATAATAATTTAGATTTTTTAAGCCATTCTGAAGTGTAAATTTTTGCACAGAAACGACTTTTTTTGGATGCCCCCAATTTGCCAAAAATCAAAATTTTGACTAGTCCTGCGGATTCATCTATAACAATAAAAATATTTTTGAAATACACTCTGATAGCAGAGCGGCGATACTAGCCTTGGGCTCCATAACCGTATGTTTAGGGCTGGTAAAAGAATGCCTTACCTCGTTATCAATGGCCTCGAGTCATCTTGTGATAGACTAGTATAGGTGCCAGGCCACAGGGGAATCGCTGAAAAGCTGACAAGGAAAGCGCCGCTATCAGTAGTATGCGAACAGGTGGGTGTTCCCCTCTCCTCGTTTGTTCTACACACTACTGGATAGCTGGGCCTTATAAGGTTGAGAACCTTATCGGACACCAGCTGCAAAAGCTTGCGAAATTAAGGCTTAAACATTTGGGAGCTCACTCTTTCAGGTATAGCACCTAACTGGTGGAAATAGAAATTAAACGCCTCAGCAATATATTATTGGCCACAAACGGGGTTTGTTGAGGTATGAGTTCGAATTTCAAGAGTTCTATTTTTATGGCTGCACAAAGGGCCGCTTATAGTTATCCAAGTGTGAAAACTGGATCAGCCATCAAACCCAACCTAAACTAACACGGCCACGAAGAAACACTTAAAGACACGTATTTTAAAAACAAATAAAAACATTTTTATTTAACTTTCCATTTGCTGTTATTTCAGCAGTCTTTTTTATATTTAACTAAGATTTCCATAAAATCTGTATATTAACATTCGTCTGATTTGTGTTTTCTAATAAATTAATACAGCCAAAAAAGAAACTAAGTCAATTACTAAAACTATATGTGAAATTCAATGAGAATATATGAATACCAAAACAATAATAATGCAAAAAGACATATGAATAGTTGATAACACTAAATTAGAGAATACATATTTTCTTTGTATACATTTCTGTAGGAAATTTACTTTGGATTAATTAGATAGTGTAAAAAATATATATTTGGCAATTGCATTGTAACTGCCAGTCATTGTACAACTTCAAAACGCCTTCGAACATATAAAACGTATACTTTTTAAGGCACAGCATTTGTCGCTATCGCTATGGGCCACGTTGTCGGTCCACGCAACACAATGTCTTCTAGTGATTCTTTGATTTTAATAAAGCGACGCTTAAACTCTAAACCACAACCTTTGGACAAACGGAAATCGACCAGAATTTTGCCATCCATCTCAATAATGTACGCCTTGAAAACCAAACGCAGTTTTCGGCGATCAATCGTTGATATGGTGACCACACCACCATCGCCCACTTTGCAAGCGAAACCCAAACGATCGATGGTCGCGACCAAACGTTTTACGGTGTCATCCCAACGTGTTGTGACAAAGAAGCGCGTCATACGACGCACCAAACGATGGAAGACATTCTGCGATGCCGATTGTGTTTGATTCATTTGCGTGCAAACCAGCAAATCGTCCAGTAGGGCAGGTTGTGAGAAACAGAAATTGATGCGCGCCTCCTGTGCGGCGGCGGGATTGTTATTGGCACCATCGGCTGCGCTGCCACCGTCTGTCAAATCTAACGGTATCGTGGGCATCGGTTGTGAGCAGTAATTACGCGATATCGTGTCATCGACGAAATGATTGGTGAGACGATGTTTGCTCGAATGCTGTCGTGAACGTTTTGCTTTCGGTGAGTGTATATCGAGCGCAGCTGCCGAGTCAACGAGATCGTGTGAATGTTCTGCGGAGAAAACGATGAATTAAGTTGGCAAATTAGTTGTGTTGCACACTTTTGTTTTAAATTTTACTAAATATAAATTATAAATAACGGTGTAAATTAAATAAAAAGCGCACTTAGGAAAACTGAAAACACACAAATTAACAAAACGAATTGCATTGGAAAATGAAAACGCAAAAATCATTTGGTTTTTGGTAATAAAGCTCTATGGATTTCTAGTACGTCTACCATACAGCTAAAATCACCAAAGAACAAATAATATGCAAATGAAAAAAGAATGCAAACATAAAAACCAAACGAAACGCACAAAAGCAAAAACATATTTTGTTGGACATAATTATGACACTATCACAAAAAAAAAATTGAATCGAAGTAAAAGTCACTCTTATTTTTATGATACAATATTCACTTAATAATTAATAAATTTTTCATATCAATTTGAAAATAAAAATGTTTTAGTTTTATTTATCTTTTTTTTAATTTTTTGCCCATAATTTTTTTCATATTGATTTCTTTCACATTACAAAAATAATCAATGGTATTATTTTAAAAATTTTCGAATAAAATATAAAATTTTTTTTTTTGCATATGAGCTTTTTAAATTTATTTTGTTATTTCACTTTGCTCTAATAATAAATGAGGTTATTTAAAAAAAAAATTCACAAAAAATATTTGAATTATTTTTATTTTTAGTACGGTATAGTTTTAACATATTTTTTTGTAGATTATCTTTTTAATTTTTTTATATTCTTTTTTTACTTGTTGTATTATATAATTAATTAATACTATATGTTTAATTAATATTATATGATTAATAATATTGTTATTAATTAAAATAAAATTCATAATTTTTAACTTCTGAGCATCAAACTCATTATTTTTTATATTTTTTATTAATTTATTTTTTACCCCAACACTTATTACCTTACATTATTTCACACTCAGCTGCACTTTCCCAATTATTCTTCTCATTAGTTTCTCTTGCATTTCAAAGAAGTTGAAGCAGACTCTTCAATGCTTTGGTAATCTAGCTTTATGAAGTAGTCAAATCTATCATACAGCTAAAGCGCCAAAGCGATGAAAAGCTGCCAGTTGGCGACAGGCATAAAAATAAAGCTTTCGTATGAATTTAAGAAAAAAAAACAGTATTTTATTTTGTCGCCTTGCTCATTGTAAACAAAACAGAAAGCTTTTATGGGGCAGAGCGCAGTTAAGCAACGTAAAAGTTGAAAGCTCGCATTAGCTTTAGCAGACTGTTAGAAAGAATTTATAATGAAAACCAAAGCTTTTTAAGCACGTTTAATATGACGAAATGATTTTGTTATTAATTTTTTTTAAAGAATACTAAAAATTTAAATATTACGCAATTTATTTGCTGTCACCAAGAATTTTTTTCGATTGCGTTAGCTTTTAAAGCCTTTTCGACGGCAACTTTCCTTCAACTTCACTTTCTAAACACTTTTTTGCACATAGATGTTATTTTAACGTCCGATTAGTTGTAGCTATTATAGAAACTTTTGCTTAGGCACAAAATAACCCTCACCGTTAAATGGCAATGCATACTTGAGAGTCACTAAGTACCTGGACAAAGGTCTCAGGGTTGTACAGCACATTACAGCTTTCTGAATCAGAAGCTCCACAGCTTAAAGTTTGCTTTGCAAGGCTTTTTTAAACACTAAAGCGCACTTTCCGTTTTTTCATTACATAATATGTATAGATGTTAAAACTTTTTTTAAATTAATTAAAAATATCTCATTTTGTACTTACCATTCTCATTGAATTGCATGTTACACCATTTGTGGTCGAGTATTTTCTCTAGTGACAGTCGGTATGTAGGATTTGTGGCCAAAACTTTGCGCAGCAACGATATTGCCAATGTGTCCAATTTGCTCCAAGGCGTCTGTGTTGACCAGCGTTCATTGTCAGTCCAGTTTTTGAACTCTTGACAATTGGTGGATGGCTGATCCCAGGCCAGTTCTATGTAGTTGGTGTAAATTGTGTGGAGAAAGCGAAAAAGATGTAATTGGAAATAAGTTGATTTGTCTGGATTTTTTTTTTTTAAATAAGCTAAGATTATGTGGTATAGCCGGCTTTAAGCGTGTCTTCCAACAAATAATATTGTACAATAAATAATTGTTAGCAAAATAGTTTAATGTTGTACATAAATTTTTAATTTAATTCAGACACACAACTTAAAAAACTTATTGCCTTTTATGTTTAGGTTATTTTAATTTGAAAAGGCTAATCTTTTACGGCTGATTCTAGGTTATATAACACACCTATACACATTTCTTAATTTTTTAATTTTATTACAAAAATAAATTTTTTATATTATTTTTTCAATATTTAATTTTTTAAATTTTATTTTTTCAATTTTTATTTTTTTTTTAATTTTAATTTTTCGATGTTTAATTTTTTTTCAATTTTATTTTTTAAACTTTTATTAAAAAAAACAACATGTATACCATATACATACGCCTAGAATTAAATTTCTCTCAATTTTAAAGCATACAATAAATGCAAGTGTGGCAAGCCAAACGCAGCTGTGCCAAAATTACATATAATGAATTCGAAAAATATAATTTTGCAAAATTAAATGAAAACATTTGCGCACAGTGGGCAAACATAATAAAAAAAAAACGCACATAATTTCAACGAAACACTTAACACACACAAAAAAAAATACAATAAAGCAAAATTCAAACAAGACTAGCAAACACAATTTAATAATAATAACGGTAAAACAATCATAAAAAACGAAACAGAGCATTCAAAAAATAACGAACGAGACTAAAACGTAAGTAAGTAGCGAGCGAAACAAGTAGCAACAAAACAACGAAAAATTGTGCAGCAAGCAATTTAAGCTGGAGCTTTGGTATAAAAGCTTTAGATGATAGCATATTTAAGAATCTACAGCTAGAATACCAAAGACACAGCAAAAATGATTTGAGAAATTGATTGGCTGGTTGGACGATTGATTTGTCGATTGATTGATGATGAGTTTAATGGTGCAATTTTATTTAATTTTTCTAAATGAATTTTTTAAACAGACACGTACATAAATTCTATATGAGCGTCGTTTCAAAACCGAATTTCTGACCGAACAATATGACACAAATAAGCAGAAACTTTTTTCACACGACAAAACGACAATTTAATACGACGCATATGGGTAAGCAAAACGAAAAACACACAGAAAGACCAAAACAAAAAAAGGCAATCCGCACTGCAGGCGATAATCAACGCGGCGCACAAAAAATTGCTATATATAAAATAAAACGGCACGTATGGCAAGTGCAGCATGTAAACCGAGGCAAATAATGAAATGTGTTCGACTTGATTGATGAGGATGCGCGGATGTGACGAATAACGAGTTGGACGGATATTGTTACTAAAGCGTGCGAGTGTAGCGCGCGCGCGTGTGTGTGTGTGGCATTATGAATACATATAACACATGCATGCGTATAAAATATGTATATAGTGGAGCACGGCGCTATCTGGGCGTGTCACCCAGCGATGCATGAACGCAATAAAAAACATATGCGCACATTTGTATGTGTGTGTGTATGGAATTGAGAATTTCTTTAGCAGGATGTGTGGGCGTTGTATGGCACGAGACAGCCTGTTGCGGCCAGGCGTCCGCAAGTGGGCAGGGGAATAGACGAAATATGTGAATTTTTTCGATACGTGCGATGCGTGTAAGCGCCATAATCTAAATATACAATATAAAATAGCAACAAAAACAAAACAAACGCATGCATTCAATCAAAATTTATGTTGTTTGTGTGCTTGGAACATGTTTTGCTATATTTTCAATAAGAATATTTTATAAAATACAGTTGCATTGCGCGAACTTTAAGCACACTAGCTAACTTGGTGTTGTTTTCTTTGGTGTTAGTTAAAAAATTTTCTGTGTAGCAAACTATTTCTACTATATTTTAAATGCATTACTCACCACCAGCCAGCATTGTGACCAGTATAATGCCGCAGGACCAGATATCGGCGGGTTGTGCGTGGTAGGGTTTTACAAGTACTTCGGGCGCTACATATGGTAAAGTGCCGCAGCGGGTGTCCAGCAAGCGTTCTTTGCCTTTGTATCTGTGTGAGGAGAAAAATGTTGAAAAGCGAAAATGAGCAATTGATTTTAGTGAAATTCTGCACATAAGCCGATAAAGCGGATTTTATTGTAAATAATTAGTAAGTAAACTATAAATATTATATTATAGTAACTGTAAATTGGAAAAATGCAATGTGGATTGAAAATGTATTTGTAGTGCCCCAAAGCTATAATACCCTTCACATATGCATTTCTAATGGTATGAAAGTGAGAAAATATTACGATTGATCAGTTTGTATGACAACTAGTAAGTGGTCCGATCTTAAGAATAAGTTCGAATATTATGGCGTTGCTTTGGGCCACAATTTATGATAGTTCGTGAAGATATCTTGTCAAATAAAATAGTTTTCAATACAACAACTTGATTTTGATCGATCAGTTTATATGACAGCTATATGCTATAATGGTGCTATAGCGGCGATTTCGAGAAATTAGTAGCTTTTTAAGAATAAAAAGACGTGTGCAAAATTTCAGCTAGACATCTCAAAAACTGAGGAACTAGTTCGCGTAGTTACAGACAAATAGACCAACATGGCTAAATCGACTCAGCAAGTCGCGCTAATCATTATATCTGTACTTTAAGGGTAGCCAAAGTTTCTTTTTGCGTGTTACAAACTTTGTGGCAAGTTTAATATACCTTGCTCAGGGTATAAATATGCTAATAATAAAAAATAAAATAAAAATTGTTGTACCTAATACCTAAACATTGTCGCCATGCCGAAATCCGATATTTTTATATTATCATGTTCGTCTAGCAAAAGGTTTTCCGGCTTCAAATCACGATGCGCTATGCCATGTTGATGCAAATATTGTACGCCGGAAAGCAGCTGCAGGAAATATCTTTGCGCTTCATGTTGTGCCATGCCGACATCGGGTTCTGAAATGAAATTAAATATTGCGATGAGTATATTGTAGTTCAAGAAAATATTGTTTTTTTTTATTAGCTGAAAATAATTACGGCTTTTTGGGGTACCGCTAACCAAATAAAAGCTAAAACGAACTTAACTTAAAACTATAAATAATTATAGACTCATAAAATATGAAAAGGAATACAGATTACAGTGGCAAATTAGATTAGATTTACATTATATATTTCAACACAAAATGCTTTCAAATTTTAAACCTAACCTCAAAAATAATGCTAGTGTTTGCCTTATTTGGCATTTGTAGCGCCTTTTTATGCATATATAGACATATATTTGTAAAATATAAACTAAAACAAATATATATATATAATATATTACAGAAATTTCCTACCACATATTTCCGAAAAATTTTTTAGAACCTCCTATATGTTTGGTTTTTTCATCTAATAGACAGCAATTTCCTTAAAAATTTCAAAAATGGTTTGAAACTCCAAACATAACCGCCATACGCCGAGTGTCTTCGTGTAAATTTTGTGTTGTTTGTTGCACAGCCATGGTAGCCGAGCACTTTTGGCAAACATTTTTGAAAAAAAAAACCGCTTACCTTAACTTTTATTGAAAAACGATAAGGTATTGCATATATTATCCGTCGCGCCGAACGAAAAAATAGTTTCGATTTGTTAATGCCGACACATTTTCTTTCTATCTGCAACAAGCGGATTAAGATTGCGTAAATAAGTGAAGAACTCGCACGACATTGATTAATTAAAAATAAATTCTTTCCATGAAAACACGAAACCGGTAAAGACACTACTAGAGTATTACCAGTACTATTAATTTCGAAAGACATTCAAACTTCAGAACAACAGTTTAGAGAGCAATGAAACAATGCTGTAGATTTAAGAACGTGTACGAATGACTTTCACCGGTCAACTGAGGTTGCGGAGTGAGAAGTGATGTCGTGGCACTGATAGCGATGGCTATGACTACGTGTGTCAGGGGTCAGCATAGAAAAATTAGCAGGTAGTTTCAAATTTGTGTAAACACACACACACTCGCAAGTGTAAGCCGGCGGTGAACAGACTGAGGATGAATTGCAACTTCCACAATACAGCTGAAATTTGAAAATAAAATGATGCGTAGGTAAAATGGCTAAAACCGAAGATAAAGAGGTAGAAAAGCAGAGGCGATTTGGAAAGTAACAGATTGTATAATGGAATGTATGTTAAGCCTAGTGACGAGAGTGAAAAACAATAACCAGTGATTTAGAAATTGGAAAAGGCGTATTGAATTACAACAACTACATGCATACAAACGACCAATTACCAGGTAGCCGTACAGTATGCAACCGAAGTAAAAGGACGTGTAGGGATAAATCAAAGTGTATAGATGGAAGGCAGCTGTGAAAAGCATACATAAATCATTAAAAATCACTATGTTGCACAAAATGCGTTTGTAGGTAACCCAGTAAGCATTATAATGACGCTGAAAAATTACATATCACCTAAACACTTTCAGAATTTTGGAAAGAATATGTGGGATTTACAAAATTTCTGCTACCCGAAAATATTTTCAATACATTTTATAAAATTATAACATTAGATTTAAAACGGGGTAAATAAATAGCGGTGGACTCTGCGAAAAAAACTATAATATACGAATTTACCCATTTTTACCTTTACCAAGATAGCCGGTACACATAACAGAAACGAAATAAATTTTATAGGGGTTCTCTTCGGCAACATTCACGAATACGATTCAGAAAATAGTTTACGATGCTAGATATAGCAATAATTTACTTTTATATCGAAATAAATATCCAAGCAAAAATATATATATAATTTTTCACAAAAATACCAATTATAAAACTTTGCACTTGGAAATAGAAGTCTTTCTCTTGGTCATATGGTTAGTATAATCCATAGCACACAGATGTTTGTAGGATACAGAAGAGTGCAGGTTTAAACTGCTGCGAACAGTTGGCACAGGCTTTTCTAGACCTAGTTTCTCGCTAACTCCAATTATGAAAGATATAAGATTATATTATATAATAGGACTATGGCCCTACGGACAAAAAAGAATTTTTATCAATTTTGGAGGAAACACAACCTTATCGTGGACTTAGTTGTTGTCTCGAGACAAATTATTGCTGGCAGAACCTAAAATATTTAAAGATTCTCTTTTATTCAGTTACTAGAAGCTGTCATAACAACAGAATAATCATTTGAAAGAATTGCCTACTCATATACAGGTTTTGTATGACTTGTCTGAGATGTAGTTGCGAATTTTGGAGGTCTATAAATGTTCTTGTGTTTGTAGCGGCACACAAAATTCCACAAATTTTCTGCAAGGCAATAAAGTAAACAAAAAAAGAATAAAACATTAATTTCGGTTACACCGCAGCTATAACAACCTTCACAGCTATGTACATATATGTTATAGTGGTCCGATCTGAACAATTTTTCGAAGATAACTTTACCTTGGACAATAATCTATACCAAATTTCTATGAGGAATAGATTTTGATCGGTCAATTTATAGGTTAGCTATATGAAAAAATGGTCTCTGATCTGAACAATATGTTCGGGGATTGTAGCGTTTTCTAGGACAATAATCTATGCTAGATTTCCAGAAGATATATTGTCAAATAAAAAACTTTTCCATACAAAGACTTGATTTTGATAGTTCAGTTTGTATGGCAGCTATATGCTATATTGGTCCGATATCGGCGGTTCCGACAAATGAGCAGCTTCTTGGGGATAAAAGGACGTGCGCGAAATTTCAGATCGATATCTCAAAAATTTAGCGTATAGACAGACGGACGAGTCATTTATATACAATATATTTTATAGGATCACCGACGTTTACTTCTGGGTGTTACAAACTTCGTGGCAAACTTAATAAATCCTGTTCAGGGTATAAAATTCTACATTGAATTAATTAAAACTTTAGTAATGAAATTTCTTATATAAATAGCTAACAAAAGCCGTAAGCAAGTAATTATTAATTTGAAATCGAGCTAGAGCAATGACCCAGCTATCAGAAATAAATTTTTTCATGATTCTTCTTTTACATTATTATCTTATGATAGCAATAATAATTACTTGAAGTAGATTTGTGGTTATTTACATTTTTTTCTTCTCAATTTCTTACCTCCTTGATGATGAAAATAAACCATAAAACAGAAAATATTAATCTTTCATGCAATAACACATATAAGTCATCAAGTATATAAGTATATAAGTAGATATACAAATATATTCATATATATGTACATATGTATATGTGTACATAAATGAAGTCTCTATAACTATGGCATTAACTGTACATAATTACAACAAATTAACATTTGCAATCTCTGCTTCATAGTAAATAATTGTGCTGGCTCACTTTGTGGATGACGTTGCACATTCTGATACTCGTATATGGGATGCCTACGGTTTTTTATTTGATCAGTTTCTTGCAACTTGCTGCAGCAATTGGACAAGTGAATCACTAAAAGGACACAAACATATCGGTACATATACACATACATATTGTACATATCTAGCTATATAAGCGTTTAGTATGAAAAGTGGTTGTTTTCAAAGCCAAGCAAAGAAAAACAAAATTATTCAATAGAGTAAACAGGTAAAAAAAATCAAAAAAACGAATGCAGTTAATGGGACAGTAGTGAAAACAAAAGGTAAAGGAGGGCGCAAAATAATGCTGATTGTCAAGGTATACTTAACTGTGTGTGTGTGTGTGTGTGTGTGTGTGTACACAGCTGAATACAAATGCAAAGATTCTTCATGTGCGTATGCATGTATGTGTGGGTAAAGGACTTTTTAACGAACATTTATGGCCACATTTTCAATACGCTGATTTACCTGTAGACAAACCAATACGCTACCTATGAGTGTTGATGTAAGTATATATGGGTGTGTACGTTCACGGTAATAGGTAGTGGAAGTGGAAACAGCAGAGTGTACTCACAACGTTCTCGAGCGCCGAGAAATGCATCTTTAAGTGCACTTAGGAATATGGCAAAAGTGAGTGAGTGAGTGAACGTAGGAGGCGGCAGAAAGCCGAGGATGCAGTCAACGGCGATGGTGATGGTGACTTGGTCGGTCGATTGATGGTTGTTGAAAATGTTTTCCACCAACAAATATATAAATAGAGGCAAACACACACATGCGCATACACGGCATACACACAAGCAAATGCAAATGGCAAAATATTTTACACAGTAACGTTTGTTAAGGATGCTTCACAGGGCAAATAGAGCGTTGGAGAGACAGCCAGCAAGCGGGACTGGCAAACAGTTAGTAATTCGAGCAGGTAAAACTACAAAGCTAAAGATATATGTACACATGTATATGTATGTACATATATATATCACTGTTTTTCGCAGCAAATGTAAATCTGCGCTTGAAGACAAGTCAATGGTATTTGTAAGCAAGAACACACCTATATCTATATGAATATATACTTGCATATGTACGAGTACATATGCTTTTAGCTATGGTATTTGAATACACATACACATATACATATGTAATCATGTAGTGAAATGTGCGCGCCTTATAATGCATCTGCTGATCATTGAAAGTCATTCACACGAACGACCGCCATAAAACGAGCGTTAATGTTGTATATCCACAACAACAACAACAAGAACAATATAAATAAAGCAGAAAACATATGTATATTGGGGTGCATAGCAACAGTTGTGTTGGCAGTTATGGCAAGGTAATAAACGTGTAGCGCGCAGGGTTCACGGATTTCAAGTAGACAAAGTAAAAGTATTTGTTTGGAATGTGTACGAATATATGTGGCAAATCCCTACAAATTACTATATACGAGTTATGTGCGCTTAAAGTAAGCCAAATCACGTAGATATATACTCGTATATGTGGAATTGCATTTTGAATACTAATAAGCATGTTTATATGTAAATCATTTTGTACTAAATGTTTTCTTAAATGTTTAATTAATTGTATGCATAGTATGAGGAAATATTTTATGGTGAA